AACAAATGACTGAAAAGAATTTAGCGCGGGTCTATCGTCGTCGGTGCACTGTTTTCGCATTTCCATACGAATACCCTTGCAAATACGCGTATCGTTTGAATTATTAAAGACCTTTAGAGACACAGAGGGGAGGGATTGCAGGGGCGAAAACATTTTTCAACGCTGAGTAAACACGCCATTGTCTTTCTTCGCGATTTTCATATCGGCGCTGTCCCACCACGTCTTATAGGAAAACAAAAATAGAAAAGTGCAAAGAATGACTCGTACATTTTGATGCCTAAACCTTTTTATTCTCCCTTTTATTCTTTCCTTCTTAATTTCAAAGTTTTTTTTCTCCCAAGATATAAAATCTTCTTCGCTTTACCTATAATTAAGGCACCAGGCTTATGCTTAGTTTAATAATATATTTAAAGGGGGGGGGGGGGAGGAGAAAAGGGGAGAGAAAGTTTAAGGGAGCCAATCGGGAAAAGAAAAAAAAAGCGACTCAGACAAAAAAAAGGTGTAATCAATTCGAAACCGTTTAATTGTCGATTCACACTGCACTTTTTCTTCGCTTCAATCCTCTTTTTTTTTTTTTTTTACCAAAGATTACAGATCTCTTTCTTTTAAAACATCGGGTAGAAACTCTAACTAGATTTTAGATCTGGAATAGCTAATATGGAATAGGCGAATAGCTAATACAATTACATCGAGGTTGACCTGGACGCTAGCGCCATAATGGCGGTACGTTTCTAAGGGACTTGCGTAGGAGAGCACGTTGCTGGATCACGTGTGGTTGAACGATGATGAGGATGATGACCGTTTCCTAGACCTTGGTCCAGCAATCGTTTCCGCGATACGAAAACGAATATGAGATGGAATTGAATCGCATTAAGTAACGGTATCGAAGATTGCGAGACAATGCGAAAGAATTGATGCGCACTCGAGGACTCGGTTGCATCCGAAAGGAATTAGCAGTTTCATTCGGAATGTTATTGTCCGAAGGAAGATCTCCAACATCATTGTTTGTGTAATTTCTGAATTAAGTTTCATTATTTTATTACTCTCGACCAAACAAACGAACGACTTTCAAAACTTTTACCTCGTGTGTACGGTTCGAAGCGAACAACTACGTTACGCAATCTTCATCATGAGACAAAGATTAATCGAGCAGAGAAAAAGATATCGTAAAAAAAAAAAACATCGATCAATTATTTTCAATCAATCGCTAATCTTCTTTATATAACCACCACGTAAATTCAATTTCTCCTCTCTTCGTTAATTCACTGAGTAAGCTATTCAGAAAGAATCGCGCAATGGATAAAAATCGACGAGATGCAATTTAGCGGGAAGAAAAGAAAAAGGTTTAAATCGGATCCGTGGTGATCGTTGGTCGTGTCCGCGTTGGCAACTCCCACGTTTAGCCAGGCGTGTTCGGATAATTGTAATCTATTGCCTTGCCAGTGTTCTCGAAGCCAGCCTACGCGCATTGATAAACTATGCGAAACCTAACACACGGCTCGCGGATGCACTATCCACGATCCATCCTCCTCCAACCCTTTCCTTTTGCATCGAGAGCGCCTCTCACCTGTCCTCGTCCTCTTCCATCCTCTTCCCCTCTACACCCGAGCTTCGAACGCTTAACGAACGGACGCCAAGTATACGCCTTTGTACCGGTGAAATGTGAGCACCGCGTTTTCTTTCCGCTTACTTTGATTTTTCATTCCAAGAATCAAAGATCGGGAAGAAACGATAAATTGAATAATACAAATTGATTTGAATAAAATAATATCCATTTTTGGGAATTAATTGAACCTATTGTACATCATAATAATATTTTTTTTTTTTGGCGTGTACATTATGAATTTTTTCAGAAATGAAAAATTTCTTTATTCTC